TTCACGTATAGAGATGATGTCCGAGCAGGACGTCGTCCGTCATTTGCAGCCAAATAAGCTTCGACCTCTTGTTTCAAACGTTGGCGTCTTTGCTCTTCAGTTTCGGCTTCTCTAGCTTCAAGTAGATGCAGTGCACCAGCCCGTCGCAGCTTCTCGTATAAGGATGAACGCGACTTCGGCCTCTCCCCTGGATGCAGTCTCTGAAACTCTACCACTTCTGCTCGCAAGGCCGCTTCCTTCTCCGCGGCCGAAGCTTTTGCTTTGCCTTTCGGACCAAAGGTCGGCCAGTTCACAGCGAACCAAATGGCATAAAACCACGACGGTTCCGGCCATGGCAAATGCATCAGCAACAAAGCCGTGTAGGCCACGCACAACTGCTTGTTGGGCGCGCGTACCCCCAACAAAGAACGATAGCAGCCACACCAGCAGCAGTGCCACCTGTACAGAACATACGTCACTGCAATCACCTATTAACACAAGATGGAAAACTCGTTCCCTTAAATGACATTCGACCCCCACTCGCAAGCACTGCAACACGATACGTGACTGCCGGCACATATCAACACAAAATGAACAAGTCATTCCCTGCAAATGACCAATCGACAACATTTACAAACATCATTCACGATCATAAGCATTCAACTGGTCTGGCAGCAGGTCAGCTTGGTGCGCGCGGAGACTCTCTCCACACCCACATTGGCTCGCTATGCTCCCGAGCCACCGTCGCTGCATCTTCATCCTTCGGTGCATGCGCTGATCACCGCTGAACAGACATCAACATCACATAGAGTCACCGCTGAACACAAATCAATACCACATAGCATTTCAAGCACAATGTCCCCCACCTCTGCCCGCCACAGCGTGTGCCAGACGCCAATCGACTGAACTGCTTGCCATACTGCTGCCTCTGCCGGACACAGCCGAAGCGAAATCAAAACACATCGCGCTCATCAAACAATACACTTTCACAACGGTCCTCAGTCCCTAACAGACATGGTCCTGGTCCTAGCGAGCTAGTGTGACAACAGTCACGCAGCACGCGTGTCTCCAATTATCTGCTGGCCTCGCACTGTAGCGCTGCAACGCCGAACTGCCACACACCACACGCCGTCGCCAGGAGCAACGGCAGTAGCAGCAGCAGTACACTGGTCGCCGGGTCCGCGCACAGAATCCCCAGCCATGACAAAAGCAGCAGCAGCAGCGCCATGCCAGCCGCAGGGCGATGACAGCGTCCTCTCGCTCCGCGCGCCGCCGTGTGTCTGCGCCGCCCGCACAGCCGACATGGTCGCAGCTTCACCTGGACTGAGCCACGGTGACAAGCCACGGTAAGCCATGTCCACATTTTGCAGACGTGCTGTACTGCAATGAACGTTGTCCTGCAGGAATGTGTCAGGTATGTGTGTTATGCTCAGCAGCGACCGCCGCTCCAGAAGCTACTCCATACAGCGGTCTCACTTGGTCACAGAAGCTGCATGCGTCCGCGTTTCCTAACGACGACCATCCCGAAACACGGCTGAAACTTCATCCATAGAGTTGTCTGACTGCGGAACAGTCGCTTGCTGTGTCAGCGTTTCATTCCGTGTCACGCTTGCGCCGCTCCACTTGCTCCGCGTATTATGCTCTTCCTATCGATGAACATACTGGAGGACGGGTTACACCCGACGAACCGGAATGCCCACGCACACCCCCCTCTACATGCGCTAGCAAGACTCTTGTAGGACACTCTTCTAGGAAACTCTTGTGCGACACTCTTGTCGGACACTCTTGTGGGACAC